AAAAAAAAGGGCCGCACCTCTTGACTTATTCCGCGAAGGAGGAGCTTACTTCGCGCTATCAAACCCTACCGATCTGGTCTCGTTTGGGGAGGAAACGATCTGCGTGCCTCCTCCTCCTGTGGATTTTTTTATGGTTTTGTGGGTGTTTTTCCAACGAAAAAAAGGGGAATGAGCCACAAATGCTTGTCTTTTTCTTTTGTTCTTCTTTATTGAAGGAAAAGCAAAAAACCTTTCCATCTGGTGCAAGGTCCACGCGGTGTCACGTAGGTACACTGGGAAACAATCTTGGTTGCGGAAAAAAAAAGAGTCACAACGGGTAGGGCAGGACATTGGGGGAAAAAAATGCGAGGAGACGAAGTGGAAGAAGAAATCCGAGAGGGAAAAAGCTCGGTGTGCGGGAAACGGAGGAGGGAGCGAGAGACATCGCACGCAGACATGCGCGAGGATGGTCAGATCGGACCGGATAAAGGAGATAGATCGGCCGAAAGATAATGACACACACACACACGTGTGCGTATGTAACGTGGGCGAGGAGGAGGAGACCCCCTCGCGTACGTGTGCGCGAGCAGAGATAGAAATCTTTCTCGGTCGCCATGCTCGAGAGCTTCAAAGAGACAGGGCGTGTATATATATATATAGTNGACGAAATTTCGGCATCACTCGACGATAAGAGCAGCTATACGGGAGATGGAGTGAGGACGCTATTAAGGCGAGTACATACACTCAGCGGCAGTATATAGCTTGTCAGCGCGCCTTCAAAAGCCTTTCGTCGCACTCACGCACAATAATGCCACTGCATGTATGTATATATATATATATATTTACGGTAAGAAGGCATGGATACATTACGTACGCTGCCCTCCCAAGAGCTCGCGCTGGCTTTTCCCTGTTACGTAGTCGTCGTCGATTTTAAATCCTTCGATCGACCGCAAGTGAGCTCCGGAGTAGACGCGAGTATTGAGTTTCCTGGGGGTTTTTTTTTTTTTTTTTTCCTCAGTAGAAAATACGATATGAACTTGTATTGAAAATAAAATAATTTCCAAGATAACCGCGCGCATCGCCGCGTGTGCATAATAATACCATGTCACTTTCCCTCCCGCGAGCAGCGCCAATAAAAATTTTCTCACGTATAAAAGGACGCACGCACGCACACCAGAGACACCCGAGATAGGCATCTCTCGCACACCTATATCATCCTACATGTACGGATATGAAGTTTATACTTGTATATTCCTTCGTTGGCCGCGGTAGCTGTGCGCGCGATAAGAAAAAATAAAGGAAAAAGAAAAGGCCCATCGGTAGGGGGATACACTGGGAGAGACAAAAGGGCGGCCATTGTCCTTGCTCGGAGAGTGGACACAATGCAAGGCTGCAACGTGCATCATGCACAACTTGGGTATAAGTTATATAAACTATAGACGTCGTGGGCTGTGTACATGGATATATATATATGTAAGAAAGTACACGGGGACAATCTACATCTCGGACGATATATTTCATGTGTATACGTACGTGTACTACGTACATACATGTGCGCGTGCAAGGTATATAAGGGAAGAGGAGGCTCGAGGGGTTCCATCTTTGAATATAAGTTCGCGCGAGCGGAGCTATATATGCACCTCTCCTACTCCGTATCTGGTACACCTACTTGCATGACTGACTGCGGAACATGAAGATATGTGCATAAATACGTACATGGACGGGATTGCACGTAGGTGCTTGGCTTTTGTGCGCCCTATAAGTAGGTTTTACAATGAATCTCGCACGCCCGCGCGTGGGAGGAATGATTATTCTCTTCTCCTCGAATTCTTCGGTTTATAAATATCTATAAATATTCTTCAAAATATCGTACTAACGAAACAGTGCAAATATTATATTAACAATACATTGGCGAGGTATTGCTGAACGATGACCAATGTCGTACGTCACGTTTTGCCGGAGCTATTGCCTGTATATATATAATTATTATTATGGCCAAAAGGGGCAATGGTAGAAAAGTATTGGCAATTGTTTAGCCAATGTATTTGTAGTGGATAAAAGCCATGCGTTGGCAACACATTCGAGAGCTTATTGATTATTCCACGGGTCTCTTACAAGTATAGTTTATCCGAACGATCGAGACGAGCTGCATGCGGGGTGCACTCGGAGACGGTATCTTTTTTATTACACTGTCAACAAGGCGGTAGCGTCTCGCGTTCCCGTATATCTTCGTGTAAGTAGGTACGGTCGACAGTCGACTTTGTGTCATCTCTCTGCTCGGAATAAATCCTCGGAGGCGTGGGCGTGGGGACGTATTTATACGCTGTGTACATTACGCGACTCGAGATATACTTAACGAGGTTCGCCAGTCGACATCCAACGTGTAAACTGAGTTAAAGGTCTGGAAAATAAACAAAAGTCCGTGTAGCCGATCGACGAGTATATTTTATCCGGAGGGGGGGGGAAATCTGGTCGTCCATGTCGATGATGTTGCGGGCACTTATCCGCCGATAATACTTGATATTACACGTGGTGTCCGTCAGGTCCAAGGCATGTGCCATCCAGCTAAACAGGAGCACGATGTCGTTCCCGAGTACATAATATACGCGAAGCTAAAGTTTCGGTACAAAAGAAGATCTCGTCAACGTCTCGGGGATATGGTGCACACGATGGGGGTCCGCTACTGCGAATACAGACTGTTATACGAAGAGCCGGGGCCATCGACTACTACTCTTGCTCGTCTCAAAATCCCGAAGGATATCCCATTTCCTCGCGTTCAACGAACACTCTGATGGCCTTTTTTTTCCCTTCGCAGAGGCTACGAGTGGACGGAGATCAGGTTTATTCGACACAATGCTCGCTTTAGGTATATATATTTGAAAAATTGCGGAGAGAAAACGAAGAGTGTTAAAACAAGCCGCGCAGGAGAACGGGAATAATAAAAGCGAAAAAATATCTCGCTCATCGGCGAATCAACTCGTTCAACCGACGCAAACCTCGCGTCTCGGCCATCACTTATACCATCACGCTGCTGCTGTGTTATCTCGGAAACACGAGAGCCAAAAGATGATGGGGGGTGGGGGAGAAATTCCTCTGCAGCAAACGAGAGATAAAACAGGAAGTCCAGGAGTACACGTAAGAGAGAAGGAGGTGGAGGAGGACGGTGCGATGAGAGGGCCGAAAAAGCGGGAGGACAAAGAAGAAGGGAGCAAAAGAAGAGGAGGCAGTGCGCTCGAAGGGAGCGCATACATATGCGCGCACGGAAGGAGTGAAAGGAGAGAAGGAGGGAGGGGGTGGTGGTGGTAAAATATGATAGCGAGATTCGCGAAATATGAGACCGAGGCGACGGGATCCATTGCGCTGCGAGGAGAGAAAGAGAACAGATGGTTCTTATCTCTCTCTCTCTCTCTCTCTTTTTCTTGCTAGGCCTCCCTTTTCGCCTCCGCGCGAGGCAGTTTTTATTTATTTATGCATTTCATTTTATTTTTTTATTTTTTCGAGCGAGCGAGTGCTTGATTCATGCAAATCTATAATTTCCATCTTAACGATCGGACTCTGCTGCGCGCACGCACATCCTTTCTTTCCTCCCCATGTGCTTCTCAAATTGAATCGTACGCGCACGCACGCGCGTCGTTCTGTTTTACGTACACGCGGATGGTGTATGGGAGTCGTTTGTTTTAGTCTCAAGGGTGCCATTCCTCTTTCCTCTTAGTCTGCAATTTTTTTTTTTTTTTTTTTTTTTTTTGCGATAAAATTTTTAGGGAAAAGGTGTGTCGCGTTACACAATATGCGTTTCAGCCCCGCATCGGGAAATCAGGAGTACATTTATTAGCTCTGAGCATCGTGTACCTACAGCTCGAGCGGATTAATCATCGTTGCGGCACGTATGTCAGATTACAAAGGAGAGGGACGTGCCTCGTCATTCCTATGCACTAGTTGCTTAAGTTTTGATTGTTCGTCGGAGCAGCATCTTTTTATTTTACGTTTCTCAATTTAATTGACAAAGACAAAAAAAAAAGCATAATTTGCCATGAATATACTCGGTCAAATTTACCGTCGCAAGAATATACCAATGATGTATTATCAGCATAAATAGGGTGATGGAGTGCGCGAGCAAGATTTCCAGAAAAATAGAAAGAGAATGAAAAAGAGAGGGTGGGTGCGGTGTATTGTCAGGAAAAAACCGAAAAATCAAGTGTCGGTATATAGATACAGAGCGTAGCGGCAAAGGGGAGCTTTCACTTAACGAGCAGCGCCACGGCTCGTATGGCAGGGTGATAAGGATCGCGATTTCCCCCCGGTGAGGTTGGCTCCCGTGAGAGACAAAAGTGCCGGCTCGCCGTGTCGCGTAACAAGAGGGAGAGAAGCCATAGGGGCGTTTTCCACGCGGCGAATGTCAAACAATTAAGGCACTGCGGAGAGCCGAACAAGCACTGCAGTGGGTATATACACATATACATATGTTGTGGCTGCATCGGATGCCTTGTCATATGTGCCCTCGCGAGGGGAATTTATCGGCGACACCGCAGCTTCTCTCCTTTCGCGTGGATTATGGGCAAACCTCTACCCGACGACACGGAGGGACAGCTCGTTGCTTTTTGTTTGTTTTCCACTGAAGTATAGTGGTTGCACAAAAAAAAAAAAAAAAAAAAAAAAAATCTCGAGGACTAAATTTCAAAATACACCAGCTCTCCTGTTTATTGGACACTGATTTTGTTTTAGCAAGTATTTGGAAAGTAAGAAAAAAAAAAAAAAAAAAAAAATTAAATAACAAGCCTTTTCTCCTCATGCTCCCCATTACGTTGCGCGTCCAGCAATCAAACACCCATCAGTTGTTTTACAGCCCCCGCGGTTCTTAGTGACCCTCCCCTTGACTCGTTTTAACGACTCAGCGGCACTAAAGACTCCGGCAATGGCTACTACTGCTTATCTTTTCGTTGCAACCGCAGTAATTAATGGAAGAACAATTCAAGCGATTGTAAAAGAGGTGGATGAAAAAAAGAAAATCATGCGTAGCTTACCTGGCATGCAGACGCATCGAAAGGTTCCGGGATCATCGAGGCAGGAGCCGTCGTTTCTGCAGGGAATCGACTCGCACTCGTTGACGTTGGTCTCGCAACGCGGACCCGTGAAGCCTTGCGTGCAGTTGCACGCGAACGAGCCGGGCGTGTTCACGCAGATGCCGTCGTGCTCGCACGGTGAACCTGGAATAATAAAAATTTGGACGAGTTTAAATAACATTGCGTGCAAAACAATATGATGTCTTCGATCGATCGAGTAGCTTTATTTGTGGCCAAAATGCTTTTTTTACCTTGCTTTGTAGAAATTAAAACGAGCTTCAGTTTAACTCCTGTAATGGGAGTTTCTGTTTTTTATAAAATGCAAGTTTTTTCACCCTACATTGGTTTTTCCCATTCAAATGTGTCCAGTTTAGTGCAACTGGTTAACCACTTGGTGCACCATAGATATATGGCTGTCCTTAAAATTATAATCCACGCCACTACGATGTGTTTTATAAATAAAAAAAATTTCAACTACCCGTTATACATATAATATAAAGTATGAAGACGTATAAATATTGTACATATTTTGTTTTCAATTCCTTTTTGCAAACACTCACACGTTTCCATCGAGAAACATGTGTCGTGTAAAAGCCTTAAAAAAAAAGCCGCAACAGCTCGAGAGTCCCCAAAGAGCATTCTCCTTCCGAAATTATCTCGATCGAAAGTTTACGGCACAATTAAGCTTGTCGATCTCCCGTCACCGGAACTCCAGCGACAATCAACCTCCCAAGGAGCGAGCCAAATGAGAAAAAAAAAAAAAAAAAACGCCAAACAACCAGCAGACGTTCAGCAGAATTTTTCCCACAACGCATACCTTCACACACATCAAAAGAGATCATCGGACTGACTTTCTATCGATCCCTCATCGTGTCCTCCTCAAAGTACGTATAGGTACGTATACATATCCGAGCATACCGATACCGGTCATCCCATCAAAAGCAGCAACAGCAGAGATCAGCCTCTGAGGCTGAGAAAAGCCTCCTCGCGGACTTTCACCCGACCGGCAATTATCGCTTATACGCGCGTTTGCGCGCCTATATATACATCTATACATGCGTGCGAGCACACCTTTTTTTCATCTCTTGCTCCTTAGATGGCATACCGACCAATCAATACGCACACGTGGACATATATGTGTGTTATACGAGATCTTTTCGATCCCCAACTGCTTCTGGCGCGAAAATTTTCAATCCATACCTACGGGATTCTCCAACTGTGCTTGTCCATACATGTGCAGGTAATTATTACAAATTATCGTCAACTTGATGGCTCTATTCTGAAAAACATCGCTCTCACCTAATGAGCGCGTGTTTCTCTAAAAAGCGATGCAACGAATACGTGAATATAAACAAAACGAAACAAAAAATATGCGAACAAGTTGAACGAGAGAGAGAGAGAGAGAGGTGGGTAGGGAGTGGAGGGACAAAAAAAAAGAGACGTGTACACGCGGTCGCTGGATCCGAGAGGCGAATTACGCGCCATTTAAATGCCGATAACCGGTAAAAATCCAGCGACATCATTATAAAACGTTTATATATACGTCCACCTCTTACCTGCACGGAGGAGTGACTATATACGTGTACTCGAGGAGAACTGGACGAGCTTCAACCACACGTGTAACCTACGGACTCGTGTACTTGCGCAGAGAGAGAGACGCAACGACAAGAATTAAGGGAATAACGAGCCAAGAGAGAGAGAGAGAGAGAGGCAGCGGCAGTAGTGTATTATAGTGACAATTAAAGGAGAATCGGCAAACGTGCGCGGAATGACAAACCTACGCTTTATATACGTGTTGCGTCGCGTCATTTGTGCGTACGACGTGTATATGGCGGGCGTGTGTGTAGGGAGCAGAGAGCGAGAGCTGCTACTGTTGTTGCTACCGACCGCGCGCGCGGGAGACGAGAAAGACAACGGCGACAAATGCATAATAAACCACCTTAATTGGCGAATTCCCGTCGAGTTGGTCTTTTCCTCCCCCCCCCTTCATTTCGACGGGCTTTTAAACCTCCCGAGATTGCTCGCCGCCAAGACGCTTTAAACAGCTTTGCAGTCGTTGCTTGTGATTTAGTGGCACGGCTTTTTTTTTCCCCTCCCCGTTAATTGCCATCGCCGAGTTTGTCGTTGATGATGTATACTAAATGTGACCCAAGAAAATTCCTATTCCGTTACCAATGCCCACGATTGGTCATTATTATAAAAAAAAAAAAAATTAAAAAATTAAAGAAGTTTCAAGTATATGACACTATTGATATTGTCCATCCCCTCGATTCGTCAACTAAAAATAAACTCCTATTCGATCCAATGCTGGCGTAGATGTTCTCACTCGTCGGTACGACAAAATGACAAATAATTGGAACGTCATTGCATCCCATGAGTATCAGATGGATCGAAATACGCAAGATACGCCAAATTGTCGCTCCTAGCGCGCTGCTGCAGCGAGCAAGTGCTATTATTACTTAATGTCCCTTGATAAAAACAAAGCGCGTCTGCATACCACGTACCGACTGCGTATAAAGTTCTCTTCTCTCTCTCTCTCTTTGCCATTATATCGAGATTGCATATTTCCTGCTTGATTAAGCCGCTGCCTCCTCCTCCCTTACTCTTATATACTTTCTACTGTGCACCTACTGCCACTATACTCCCGCGCTCGCGCACATCCGGAGTTTGTGTTACATACAGATTGCATGTACTTACCACGTTTACTCGTAGAGAGAGAGAGAGAGAGAGGGACGGAGAACTGCTCTGCTTCTATAGTTTTATTGTGCATATTTAGTTGATACATCCGAAGGAAAGTGCTACGATTTGGTAATGTCGGATTCAGACAAAATATTTTACATGTGCATTTAGTATTATTATTATTATTTTTTTTAATTAAGTAGTAAGAATAAAAATTTGAAAACAACAATGAGTCTCGAGAAAAGGGAATAAAGCAACTTAGCCACACCACAGTAAGTAGCGATTACAAATTGATTTTTCGTACACCTCTAAGGTAACTATCACGAAATTCTACAGTCTTAACAAGTTGTATTTGCAGTAATAGAAGACCAACGACACGTTCTCCTAGATTTTTGCCTACGTATAAGGATTACCATCTATTCCCTCGTAATCAGAATCAATCTTTCAACATCAGCAATGTATAAGATACAATTATGCCAAGCTGTATGCACGACCCTTTCGAAAGATGCTGCACAGTTGAAAAAAAAAAAAAAAAAAAAAAAACATAACTGAGGTGATAAATAGACATGTACTTATTTGCAATAGGTCCGTTGTTAAAATTTATCGACGAAAAATAGTTTTTGAAGAAAAAACCCTCAACGTCACTATGGTATGGATATTATTATTGTGTGAAAATCTGATCGGATAACGCGGTAGCATCGGCACCTATACATAAAAACACAATCCACACTCAGGAGCGGCCCACGCAGATGATGTAAGCCGACTCCCCTGCTCGCTGTCTTCTCCTCCTCCTCCTTTCCTGTACACCATGCGCTCTCTATTGCCTATACCCTCACAGCGGTGCACAGGTATATTGGCCACCAAGGGTTCTTGTACCAATACGGGACATCGGGAAAGAAACAGGTAGCCGCGTCTAAGGAGGGCTACGAGAAGAATGAAAAGTAGAGGGGCATCGAGGAGCGATGGTACCTATATGCGCGAGCGCACGAGGCGACTACCGACCCAGGAGTATCAGCTTACAGGCAGCCAAATTTCTTGGCTATACGCCAATACATTACACCCATGTACCCGTACACCTAACGCAGATGCCTTTGTTTGTGCTCTTTCTGCTCGAGAACACCCGAGAATGGGGGGCAAAAATAATACAGTACACTGCAGGGTTCTCTTCGAAGATTTTCGAGGATATCGTGTGTGCGTATTTCGATCGGAACGCGGGAGGATGGGCCATTTTTTTTTTTATTAGGTCTAGATTTTTTTGCCAAGTACCGTAATTAGTTGTGCCTTTGAAAGTACAAGGGCTCGTGTATAGGCGAAAGGATTCAAAAGAAAAGTGTCCTGCGTATGGAAAAGTACCCATGCAGTAAAAAATTTTCCAAGCTATACATGTCGAAACGAAACACAACACTTGAGAGTTGTTCTCGTGGTAAAAGCAAATGAAAACAATTGATTGATAAAGCAGAGTGAGTTACGGATTAGTCGAAGGGAAACGTGTATACATTTGAGCTCGAGAAATAAATGAGATTCTTTGAGAGGAGCATTACACCGGGAGAGTTTAATAATGACCGCGCATACCGTACGCTGGATGCATTAAGAGCACCTCGGCAGATAGAGGCGACGAAATTTCGGCATCACTCGACGATAAGAGCAGCTATACGGGAGATGGAGTGAGGACGCTATTAAGGCGAGTACATACACTCAGCGGCAGTATATAGCTTGTCAGCGCGCCTTCAAAAGCCTTTCGTCGCACTCACGCACAATAATGCCACTGCATGTATGTATATATATATATATTTACGGTAAGAAGGCATGGATACATTACGTACGCTGCCCTCCCAAGAGCTCGCGCTGGCTTTTCCCTGTTACGTAGTCGTCGTCGATTTTAAATCCTTCGATCGACCGCAAGTGAGCTCCGGAGTAGACGCGAGTATTGANGTATACTGCACCGACGGTGGTCCCCCCCGTATACGTATACATATATATACCTGGTGCGCCGTGCACACAGCCTGTTCCGAGTTTTTATTTTACAAGAATGCCGGTTAAATATTTATAAGCGGCAGGGCAGAATGAAAGGGACGCGGCGTCGACAGCTATACTCTCTCTCTCCCTCGTGATTTAAGGGTCTACTGGATTTTTGGTCGTCCCTGACGTGTTGTACCGTGTATACTTTTTTTTTTTTTTCCTGTCCTTCCCTTCTCGTTTTGCATTAATGCGAATCGACGATTACAGTTATTTCGGGAGGAACGGGTTGATAAATAATAACTCGCGCTTGCTCCGATGGAGTTATTAAAAGTGCACTTTGAAACGACTTTGCGGACGAGAGGTAGGGGTGTAACGGAGCGCATTACGTGCGAGATTTTAAAAGCTGCACCGCTGGCGAAGGATGGCAGCGAGCGAGAGCTCGTACAGAGAAATTGCCTCAATTAGTATCAGCGCGGGGTGGGATATTTCGATTCGTTTATTTATGACGTTAGGAAATAAGACGCGCTTGCGAGGTTTGGAACGAGTGAGGGAAAAATTTCGGTTCCGAGAAATTCGCTGTGAATAATCATTCGTGTTTCACATTGGAGCATAAGCGTGTGCGCGGGTATACGAGATTAGAAATCAGAACATGGGAACGGGATTATCGTCTTTATGTTGCATACGAATTTTTGTTTGAAAAGAGAAATAAAAATGCATGATGAATGTTTTCAAGGAGGAATTAGCGTTGAGTCTAATCATCGAAAATATTAAATTAAATGCTATAGATGCGCGTACATAATATATACGCACGAGGAGAAAGTTTTTGATCTTGAATTAAATTATTGTGATTATTGTTGTTGTTGGAGAAACTCCTGAATAGCAATGCTAGTACGTACAATTATTGTTCAACATAATATATTTGAATTATTCATACGTGGATCAGAAATTTTAATGAGTAACGGCATTGAGTTGTAAAATGCTCAAAAAGTTTCATTGTCGCGTAAATAATGTATGTTATTTGCAATTTTATAAGTGCATTATTAGTATATGAAATAAAATCAGGTACTAACTGGACTTAATAGTGCCTATAACTCGTGTAAAAACTCTGGCTATCCCTTTGATCTTAATATCCACCAACTCCGATCTTCGAAAAATTAAAAACTTAAATAGCTGTGCAAATAATATATTATGTAAGTACACAAACATGTAAGCGAAAATTCGTACCACAGATTTTTGGCAGAGGCATAGAGAGAGTTTAAATTAATTTCTTGGCTCTCATATAAATAATGGCTTGTAAATAATAATCACTTTTGCAACAGTTCATAATAAAAGGAAAAAAATAGATGGTCAATATCACTCTCTTGCCCTACTATTTAACTTTATGTATTTAACTTTACGTATTAAAGTTAAATCAAGATAACCGAATATACGAAATGTTTATGATGATGCTGTTCTATTCAAAGTTACAAAATAATTGTTAGTTTTTTTTTTATATTAGTCATAAGCATAAATAAAGTCCAGTTTCAAAATCGTGGGTTATCTAGAAAATAAGTAACACTTGAAACTTTCTGTAATTAAAGATAAGGAGTCTACTACGAAGTTGTCAAAAGTGAAAACGTTTAAAGTTAAAAATGGACGTGGAATTTAGCTACAAAAAAAAAAAAAAAATGCAATTGATAACAAAATTTATAGAAACGACCAAAACGATTATCTAAAAAATTTAAAGAAGCTTTGCAAAAGTTGCGAAGAGCATCATTGATATTTCCGAACTTTTCAATGTTTCAAGTAAGCGGCTGGCTAGTTGGCAAGCTCAACACCGAAGGCGATAGAGAGAGCCTCCAACCAATGGAATCGAAGCTCTTTAGAACAGAAAACATATCTGTATATTGTGCAGCGCCATGTTTGTAATAGATATGTACAGACATACTTCCCATTGCAAGTCGGAGGCACTTTTCGCTGGTGTCCTCTAGGCTCAGCTTGCCAACACGATAGCCCCACAAGTGATAAGTGCCCATACAACAACTCGAAGTGGATACTAGTTTGACTCTTCTCACACCTTCTACCAACACTGAAGAATCGTCTCAAATCACACAATCGAAACGAGTGCATTATTAAAACTTATTTCGAAGTGTACCACTTAAATAGTATCATACACGGTCGATCCATTGGTTAGTCAGTTGGTTTTACTCGCGCAAGCAGGTACTTCTAATACTCTTTTTGTAATAGCTCATTACTCCCTTATGAAACATAAATAACATTTTTTTTACAGAAATTGACATGTATAATATGTTTGGTCAACAAGCAGCACAAACTACGCCTCAGTCAACTGTGAATCCTATGAACGATTTTGAAGTTGTATCACCACCGGATGATTCGATATCAAGTTTGGCGTTCAGTCCAGCATACGTGTCTCAAAATTTACTTGTTGCTGGCTCTTGGGATAGTCACGTCAGGTGCTGGGAAGTGGAAAAAACTGGAAAAACTGTTGCCAAGGCCATGCAGAGCATGACAGGACCTATCCTGGACGTTTGTTGGAGTGATGTCAGTTTTTAGATACTTTTTACTTGCCATAAATGCCATGGCAAAGTTTTAGGGTGTTGTAATAATGCATCGTCAAATACTTGTTTTAGGATGGGACCAAAGTATTTATGGCATCTTGTGATCAAATGGTCAAGTGCTGGGATTTAGCTTCCAATCAATCGATCCAAGTAGCTGCTCATGATGCCCCAGTGAAAACTTGTCATTGGATTAAGGGTTCAAGTTACTCATGTTTGATGACTGGTTCATGGGACAAGACTTTAAAGGTATTTTATACTGCGTATTGAAAATACTAGTAACTAATATCAATTTATGTACGTGATATTTCAATAATTTCTCATTTTCTAGTTTTGGGATCTCAGAACGCCAACTCCAATGCTTACGTTGAATTTACCAGAAAAATGTTACTGTGCAGCTGTTGAGTATCCAATAGCTGTTGTAGGCACAGCTGGAAGATGGTTTTTAACCTATAAGTTGGAAGGCCAACCAACTGAACTCAGCAGGAAAGATTCCATTGTAAATTTTCAGAGCAGATGCGTTGCCATATATAGGGATAAAAAAAAGGCTCCCACTAGTTACGCTGTGGGCACCGTAGCGGGTTGTGTCGGCATTAAATACTTAAACAGTCCCAAAGATACTTTTAGATACAAATGCCACAGATCACTTAATGTTACGGGTAAATTTCAGGATATTAATATGGTACGTATTCTTTATATCGTCACATTTTTTATTAAGTGCAGCAGATTACGTTAAGAATCAAAGATTCATTATTTTCAATAGGTAAATGACTTGGCGTTTCATCCGGTTAACGGTACTTTGGCAACTGTTGGCGGTGATGGGACATTCGGTTTTTGGGATATAAATGCTAGGACAAAAATAAAAGTATCAAAAACAATGGGGAAACCTATCACTAGTTGCTGTTTTGATCGCAACGGGGAATTTTTTGCTTACTCTGTCTCCTATGATTGGTCCAAGGTACTTATAATTGTGTATTTAAAAATTTATCAATATATTTTGCTTATTAATTGGTATTGATGTTGCTTTTAGGGTCATGAGCATTATAATCCGAAAATGACGAATCATATCTTTCTTAGATCTTGTTCTGAAGATTTGAAACTGAAATGACATAAACAGCATAACTATTAAAAATATATATGAAGCCTATTATCCATGAATTAAGAATAAAAATTTTTTGTGTGGTATTTTTTATGATCAGAAAACTTTAAATACATACGAACACATAGGTAAGCAAAAAAATTACGACGTTGATTCACGTTTATCACAAGAGATTAGTCCACAGTGTGTTGTGACGACACTTGCGTCATATTGACTTTAAAAGGTCCTTGTTGAGTTGAGAATAAATTCAAATTGAAGGTACAGTTATACATTGTAAATAATAATTACTTTTGCGACAGTTCATAATAAAAGGAAAAAAATAGATGGTCAATATCATCACTCTCTTGCCCTTCTATTTAACTTTATGTATTAAAGTTAAATCAAGATGACCCAATATACGAATTGTTTATCAATAAATCTGTTCTATTCAAAGTATCAAAATGATTGTTAGTTTTTTTTTTCGCTGTGTCTATTCGCACTTTTTATCTTCGTACACGCATGCGCCTCGCTTCGCTCGCTCGGAAAAAAAAAAACTTGGACCCTATAAGTACCGGACAGTAGAGTTACCCACTGCGCATGAGTATCCACTATATCCACGTAATTACGTGGATATACTTACGGTGCGTTTTTGTGCGAATAGACATTACGTTTTTTTTATATTAGTCATAAGCATAAATAAAGTCCAGTTTCAAAATCGTGGGTTATCTAGAAAATAAGTAACACTTGAAACTTTCTGTAATTAAAGATAAGGAGTCTACTACGAAGTTGTCAAAAGTGAAAACGTTTAAAGTTAAAAATGGACGTGGAATTTAGCTACAAAAAAAAAAAAAAAATGCAATTGATAACAAAATTTATAGAAACGACCAAAACGATTATCTAAAAAATTTAAAGAAGCTTTGCAAAAGTTGCGAAGAGCATCATTGATATTTCCGAACTTTTCAATGTTTCAAGTAAGCGGCTGGCTAGTTGGCAAGCTCAACACCGAAGGCGATAGAGAGAGCCTCCAACCAATGGAATCGAAGCTCTTTAGAACAGAAAACATATCTGTATATTGTGCAGCGCCATGTTTGTAATAGATATGTACAGACATACTTCCCATTGCAAGTCGGAGGCACTTTTCGCTGGTGTCCTCTAGGCTCAGCTTGCCAACACGATAGCCCCACAAGTGATAAGTGCCCATACAACAACTCGAAGTGGATACTAGTTTGACTCTTCTCACACCTTCTACCAACACTGAAGAATCGTCTCAAATCACACAATCGAAACGAGTGCATTATTAAAACTTATTTCGAAGTGTACCACTTAAATAGTATCATACACGGTCGATCCATTGGTTAGTCAGTTGGTTTTACTCGCGCAAGCAGGTACTTCTAATACTCTTTTTGTAATAGCTCATTACTCCCTTATGAAACATAAATAACATTTTTTTTACAGAAATTGACATGTATAATATGTTTGGTCAACAAGCAGCACAAACTACGCCTCAGTCAACTGTGAATCCTATGAACGATTTTGAAGTTGTATCACCACCGGATGATTCGATATCAAGTTTGGCGTTCAGTCCAGCATACGTGTCTCAAAATTTACTTGTTGCTGGCTCTTGGGATAGTCACGTCAGGTGCTGGGAAGTGGAAAAAACTGGAAAAACTGTTGCCAAGGCCATGCAGAGCATGACAGGACCTATCCTGGACGTTTGTTGGAGTGATGTCAGTTTTTAGATACTTTTTACTTGCCATAAATGCCATGGCAAAGTTTTAGGGTGTTGTAATAATGCATCGTCAAATACTTGTTTTAGGATGGGACCAAAGTATTTATGGCATCTTGTGATCAAATGGTCAAGTGCTGGGATTTAGCTTCCAATCAATCGATCCAAGTAGCTGCTCATGATGCCCCAGTGAAAACTTGTCATTGGATCAAGGGTTCAAGTTACTCATGTTTGATGACTGGTTCATGGGACAAGACTTTAAAGGTATTTTATACTGCGTATTGAAAATACTAGTAACTAATATCAATTTATGTACGTGATATTTCAATAATTTCTCATTTTCTAGTTTTGGGATCTCAGAACGCCAACTCCAATGCTTACGTTGAATTTACCAGAAAAATGTTACTGTGCAGCCGTTGACTATCCAATAGCTGTTGTAGGCACAGCTAAAAGATGGTTATTAACCTATAAGTTACAAGGCCAGCCAACTGAACTTAGAAGGATACGCACTTCTTTTCATATTCAGAACAGATGCGTTGCCCTACATAGGGATCAATCGAACACTCCCACTGTATGTGCTGTGGGCGGAACGAAATGTCGTGCCGCCATTCTATATATGAATGAAACCAATTCCCAATTTCCATATACATTTAAATGCCACAATGTAAGAAATGAAATGGGTAATTTTGAGGGTAATTATTGTGTATGTATCTTTTTTATCGTCACATTTTTTATTAAGTGCAGCAGATTACGTTAAGAATGAAGATTCATTATTTTCAATAGGTAAATGACTTGGCGTTTCATCCGGTTCACGGTACTTTAGCAACCGTTGGTGGTGATGGGAGTTTCGGTTTTTGGAATATAAATGCTCGGACAAAATTAAAAGAATCAAAAACAATGGGGAAACCTATCACTAGTTGCTGTTTTGATCGCAACGGGGAATTTTTTGCTTACTCTGTCTCCTATGATTGGTCCAAGGTACGCATAATCGTGTAGTTGAAAATTTATCAATATATTTTGCTTATTAATAATTGATTTTGCTTTCAGGGTGATGAGCATTTTAATCCTAATATGATAAACCGTATCTTTCTTAGATCTTGTTTCCTAGAGTTAAAACCGTGATGCCATAAACAGCATAACTATTAAAAATGTACATGAAGCCTATTACATATGAATTAAAAATAAAACTTTTGTATGTGGATACAAACAATAAATTAGTAATAGTAATCGTTTTAATTGGTACATTACTATAAAAATGATTTCATAAATTTATTGAATTTACATTTCACGCATTGTTTTACAATGCACAATTTTTTTTGAATACTAATGTTAAAAAAAAAATTTACTGAAAATGTTACGTTTGGATATGAATCATAATAAATACACTCAAAAACGAAACAAGCAATGTAACTTTTACCTTCACTAATACATACGAATTTTCCAACTAACATGTTAGGTATGAGTAAATATTAAAAACACTGATGAGATCACTATGAAACACAGATGGACGAAACCTCTGTTAAAAATTTTATAGTTTTCGAGACAACGATCAAATCAGAGAAAAAATAAAATGAATATTATTCTCGAGAAGCCACGTGTACTTTTATGCCAAATATACGTTTAAATTTAAGGTACAGTTATAGCTTTTAAGTAGTAATCTCTTTTGTGAGTTTTTAAAGAAAGAAAAAAATAAAGGGCTAGTGTCACTCTCTCACTTAACCAATAAACTTTATGTATTGAAATTAAAAGAAGATGTTTAAATCGGCAATTTTTTTATCAATGTATGAAGCTGTTTTTTTTTCAAAGTTCCCCAAGTTTACAAAATAATTGTTAGTTTTTTTTGGTTTTTCTTTTAAATTAGCCATAAGCATAAACAAAGTCCAGTTTTGTAATCGTGGGTTATCTAGGAGATAAAAAATACTTGAAAATTTCTCTAATTAAAGATAGGGTCTACTAAGAAGTTGTCGAAAATGAAACTTTAAAAGTTAAAATTCGACGTGGAAGTTAGCTACGAATTTTCGAGAAAAATAAAATTAATAATAAAATTTATAGACAAGTATGATTAACGATCTTTCCAAATCTTTCAATGTTTAAAGTAAGCGGCTGGCTAGTTGGCAAGCTCAACACCGAAGGCGATAGAGAGAGCCTCCAACCAATGGAATCGAAGCTCTTTAGAACAGAAAACATATCTGTATATTGTGCAGCGCCATGTTTGTAATAGATATGTACAGACATACTTCCCATTGCAAGTCGGAGGCACTTTTCGCTGGTGTCCTCTAGGCTCAGCTTGCCAACACGATAGCCCCACAAGTGATAAGTGCCCATACAACAACTCGAAGTGGATACTAGTTTGACTCTTCTCACACCTTCTACCAACACTGAAGAATCGTCTCAAATCACACAATCGAAACGAGTGCATTATTAAAACTTATTTCGAAGTGTACCACTTAAATAGTATCATACACGGTCGATCCATTGGTTAGTCAGTTGGTTTTACTCACGCAAGCAGGTATGTTTTATATTTGATACTTGAATATTTATAGGAGCATTTTTTTAAAGATATTTACAAAGATACAGATAAAGCATGTCGATTATAATAAAAGCAAAGTAGATGATTTAAATGATAAAACACTATTAAATTTTGAAAATATATATTCTATCAAGTACTTGTAAATATTAGCATTAAAAGTGTTTGAGGTTATACTCGTAGGACAGGTTTTGGTATGCGTTATTGCCGCATGATGATTTTTCACATTACAAAGTGGCATTAAATTGGCGCTCTTCTTTTGAACAAGTCAAATAGGACAGGTTTTAGTGTTAACTTCGGCCATTTCATTTAGTTTTGTACAGGCTCTTCGACGCGAGTAGTCGCGTCTCACTTCGAATACCTAATAATATAATGCAGAAAATTGTTCGTGCTTTGTGGGATAAAGGACGGTCTTGACTATTACTGGCATAGATATATTAGGTATACTTTTTCTTCCTATCGGGCGCGAAGTAAAAGCCCAAAGTACTTTTCACGCTTGCGTCAATGGCTTAAATTTGAACCAATTGGCCCAATTTTGGATATTTTTTTCAGAAGGATTACTTCAGTTGTTTTTTAGTCGGGGGAGGGAGGGGGGGTGCAAGCACCCTGGACATCGCACAACTTTTCTGGAAATCCTACATTTACCTAAATTTTGAGTACACACAACTTTGAGTAACGAAAAAACGTACATCCTTTTTTTACGAAGTATAGCTTGGTATTCATATGAATAATGCAAGGTGCATGAGCCTTAAACATACTCATGTGATTTACTCACACTCGATGTTGGTGCCACTGCGTGATCAAACTCGTGTCACACAATAATGTGATTGACTGGCACTCATTCCCGTCAACTTTGATCACTAGTACGAGTCAAATATAACTTGCTATGTTTCGTTATTGAAGTACAAAAAAAAATTATACATGTGAAAATCATATAACGTACTTCAAGTTTCACATGCTTCGATTAAAAATCACTTTGCACCCTTAGAGAGAACAACAATACACGCCACTTGAGCGCAAGCCTTTGCACCCTAACGAAAACTTTGCGCCCTTCGACTACTTTGGGCCCTAAGGCAAAATGGTAGTTTTCCTACGAGTTTGAAAAGTCTTTGTTTGCGAACCGAGAGGTTTGCGGCCCGAGCCGAAGGCGAGGGACGTAACGAGGTTCGTAAAGGAGACTTTTCGAACGAGTTCCGGAAAACTGCTTTTTTGCCCGAGGAAGTACCAGCCTCCCAAAACCACCCGAGGGCGGAAAAATACTTTTTCCTACCTTGAGCGTTTTTGAGCGGCTGGTGTGCTCTCAGTAGGAAAAATGGTATTCGCCACATAAGCTCCATCCCTCCGGGGCAACCTTACGAACCCTCGGGCTGCAAAATAGCCCCAGAGGCGATGGCGCTTAACCGACGAAAACTACCATTCTGTCCACGGTCACAAAGTGAGACTTAGCGCATTAGTGGCGAAATATACTAATTTTAATGGTTTATTACTCTCTTGTGAAACATAAATAACATTTTTTTTACAGAAATTGACACGTATAATATGTTTGGTCAACAAGCAGCACAAACTACGCCTCAGTCAACTGTGAATCCTATGAACGATTTTGAAGTTGTATCACCTCCGGATGATTCGATATCAAGTTTGGCGTTCAGTCCAGCACACGTGTCTCAAAATTTGCTTGTTGCTGGCTCTTGGGATAGTCACGTCAGGTGCTGGGAAGTGGAAAAAACTGGAAAAACTGTTGCCAAGGCCATGCAGAGCATGACAGGACCTATCCTGGACGTTTGTTGGAGTGATGTCAGTTTTTAGATACTTTTTACTTGCCATAAATGCCATGNCATAAACAGCATAACTATTAAAAATGTACATGAAGCCTATTACATATGAATTAAAAATAAAACTTTTGTATGTGGATACAAACAATAAATTAGTAATAGTAATCGTTTTAATTGGTACATTACTATAAAAATGATTTCATAAATTTATTGAATTTACATTTCACGCATTGTTTTACAATGCACAATTTTTTTTGAATACTAATGTTAAAAAAAAAATTTACTGAAAATGTTACGTTTGGATATGAATCATAATAAATACACTCAAAAACGAAACAAGCAATGTAACTTTTACCTTCACTAATACATACGAATTTTCCAACTAACATGTTAGGTATGAGTAAATATTAAAAACACTGATGAGATCACTATGAAACACAGATGGACGAAACCTCTGTTAAAAATTTTATAGTTTTCGAGACAACGATCAAATCAGAGAAAAAATAAAATGAATATTATTCTCGAGAAGCCACGTGTACTTTTATGCCAAATATACGTTTAAATTTAAGGTACAGTTATAGCTTTTAAGTAGTAATCTCTTTTGTGAGTTTTTAAAGAAAGAAAAAAATAAAGGGCTAGTGTCACTCTCTCACTTAACCAATAAACTTTATGTATTGAAATTAAAAGAAGATGTTTAAATCGGCAATTTTTTTATCAATGTATGAAGCTGTTTTTTTTTCAAAGTTCCCCAAGTTTACAAAATAATTGTTAGTTTTTTTTGGTTTTTCTTTTAAATTAGCCATAAGCATAAACAAAGTCCAGTTTTGTAATCGTGGGTTATCTAGGAGATAAAAAATACTTGAAAATTTCTCTAATTAAAGATAGGGTCTACTAAGAAGTTGTCGAAAATGAAACTTTAAAAGTTAAAATTCGACGTGGAAGTTAGCTACGAATTTTCGAGAAAAATAAAATTAATAATAAAATTTATAGACAAGTATGATTAACGATCTTTCCAAATCTTTCAATGTTTAAAGTAAGCGGCTGGCTAGTTGGCAAGCTCAACACCGAAGGCGATAGAGAGAGCCTCCAACCAATGGAATCGAAGCTCTTTAGAACAGAAAACATATCTGTATATTGTGCAGCGCCATGTTTGTAATAGATATGTACAGACATACTTCCCATTGCAAGTCGGAGGCACTTTTCGCTGGTGTCCTCTAGGCTCAGCTTGCCAACACGATAGCCCCACAAGTGATAAGTGCCCATACAACAACTCGAAGTGGATACTAGTTTGACTCTTCTCACACCTTCTACCAACACTGAAGAATCGTCTCAAATCACACAATCGAAACGAGTGCATTATTAAAACTTATTTCGAAGTGTACCACTTAAATAGTATCATACACGGTCGATCCATTGGTTAGTCAGTTGGTTTTACTCGCGCAAGCAGGTACTTCTAATACTCTTTTTGTAATAGCTCATTACTCCCTTATGAAACATAAATAACATTTTTTTTACAGAAATTGACATGTATAATATGTTTGGTCAACAAGCAGCACAAACTACGCCTCAGTCAACTGTGAATCCTATGAACGATTTTGAAGTTGTATCACCACCGGATGATTCGATATCAAGTTTGGCGTTCAGTCCAGCATACGTGTCTCAAAATTTACTTGTTGCTGGCTCTTGGGATAGTCACGTCAGGTGCTGGGAAGTGGAAAAAACTGGAAAAACTGTTGCCAAGGCCATGCAGAGCATGACAGGACCTATCCTGGACGTTTGTTGGAGTGATGTCAGTTTTTAGATACTTTTTACTTGCCATAAATGCCATGGCAAATTTTTAGGGTGTTGTAATAATGCATCGTCAAATACTTGTTTTAGGATGGGACCAAAGTATTTATGGCATCTTGTGATCAAATGGTCAAGTGCTGGGATTTAGCTTCCAATCAATCGATCCAAGTAGCTGCTCATGATGCCCCAGTGAAAACTTGTCATTGGATTAAGGGTTCAAGTTACTCATGTTTGATGACTGGTTCATGGGACAAGACTTTAAAGGTATTTTATACTGCGTATTGAAAATACTAGTAACTAATATCAATTTATGTACGTGATATTTCAATAATTTCTCATTTTCTAGTTTTGGGATCTCAGAACGCCAACTCCAATGCTTACGTTGAATTTACCAGAAAAATGTTACTGTGCAGCTGTTGAGTATCCAATAGCTGTTGTAGGCACAGCTGAAAGATGGTTTTTAACCTATAAGTTGGAAGGCCAACCAACTGAACTCAGCAGGAAAGATTCCATTGTAAATTTTCAGAGCAGATGCGTTGCCATATATAGGGATAAAAAAAAGGCTCCCACTAGTTACGCTGTGGGCACCGTAGCGGGTTGTGTCGGCATTAAATACTTAAACAGTCCCAAAGATACTTTTAGATACAAATGCCACAGATCACTTAATGTTACGGGTAAATTTCAGGATATTAATATGGTACGTATTCTTTATAACGTCACATTTTTTATTAAGTGCAGCAGATTACGTTAAGAATCAAAGATTCATTATTTTCAATAGGTAAATGACTTGGCGTTTCATCCGGTTAACGGTACTTTGGCAACTGTTGGCGGTGATGGGACATTCGGTTTTTGGGATATAAATGCTAGGACAAAAATAAAAGTATCAAAAACAATGGGGAAACCTATCACTAGTTGCTGTTTTGATCGCAACGGGGAATTTTTTGCTTACTCTGTCTCCTATGATTGGTCCAAGGTACTTATAATTGTGTATTTAAAAATTTATCAATATATTTTGCTTATTAATTGGTATTGATGTTGCTTTTAGGGTCATGAGCATTATAATCCGAAAATGACGAATCATATCTTTCTTAGATCTTGTTCTGAAGATTTGAAACTGAAATGACATAAACAGCATAACTATTAAAAATATATATGAAGCCTACTATACATGAATTAAGAATAAAAATTCTTTATGTGGACGCAAACATCATCATTTCAATTGATACATTTTTAAATAAATAAATATAATAATTCATAAATTTCATTTTATTCTTTGTTCCTTTTAGCACACTAATAAAAT